GATCCTGGTGTAGCTCCTGAGCTGGACGCCTCTTCCTGTCACATTCTTAATTCGTAAACACAGGCTAGATTTCTAATCAAAATCAACCACGATCTAATATAATTAGGATCGGAAATAGAGACATTTTGCAGCGTTCAGTGTATATAATAACAACACTCTGAGTACGTATTGCATAATCCTCACCCTCTGTTCAGAAACCCAATGTGGCACAAAGCTTTTTGAACTTCGTCAACCAATGTACAAATATTGAACATAGCGTGTAAAACTGGGATCAGCACGGATCCTGATTTGCATGCCACAAACAGGAGATGAGAGCCCTGCAAAGACCACGGTTTCAAAACCCAAACTTCGTTGCATTGGAGAAAAATACTTGTAGAGCCTGGCACGTACCTTTTCGGCGGGGAGTAACAAGGCCGGAGGTGCCGTGGGTGCATACTTGATAGACCTTGTGAGAGTCTCAAAAGCTGCAGATAGCGCAATGCCTCCCACTATGCAAGCTGCCGGGGCCAGTACAAGCATAAGCCGGACCTACAGTCACAAGCAACCAAATTTGAAATGCCAACAAAATTGGAAAATGATCAAACTAAAGACAAATTTGACCTAAAAATCTCCACTGCTGTCTGTAAAATAGCCCTTTCTGATGTTAAGATTGAGAATCTCGATTGTACCATCACTCCAGAAAAGTACACGGATGTAATCATGTACAGAATGATGAAGGTGCTTGAATCTGTCAGTGGCCGGAAACATGCCTGCAGGTTCCGAAGGTGAAGTGTTAGAATCGATTTAAAACCAAGCTATCACGTGACCAAACCTGACACAATACATTAGGTGTCCTTAAAGAATTAAACTGCACGCCTCAAACTTCCACAGTGTTAGAAGAGGCGGATCATCAAAAGATTCGTTAAGCGAACAAGACCAGTAAAGTCCTTACGATGATACCAGCTGGAGCTAGGAAGGCCAAAATGTTGATGTCCATGAAATACGAAGGCCAGGTGGGTGGCTGATGCTCGCTAACACTAGCAATGATTGGGATATACTTGCTTGCATAGGTTCTGAACATCAGCGTCACACCAACAATCACAGTCGGGAAGTCAGCCAAGTGAAACACAAACTACTTTTTATCCAGGCATAACAGACATTCATAGCAATCGTCACTTTTCACTTGTCTATACACACGTTGCTGGAAGCCAGAGTACTTGTTTCACATCCTCAAAAGACAATACGTCGAGAAAACCGATAGCCATGAAACTCAGTATATAGGATTAGAATCTTCGATCACGTACGGGTCCAGCAAACTCAGGCTGCGTCCACTCCATCCTTTTGTAGGGCTAGCTGCCACTAAGGCAATCAGTATCCCAACAAGCACAACAGCACCCGTCCTGTCATTTACCAATACACACAAACATTCTTTGAGAGGTGCTCCACGTCAGCGATGCTAAAAACCATGGTCACGCGGTACCACCACATCACTTAAAAACAAACAAACAAACAAGCGAATTAAAACGTACAACACACTTACGTCCCAATGGCGACAACCACTGTGAATGCCATGCGGTAGGTTGCTTCGTCAAGCGTACGCCGAATATAGCGCTCTAAGGCAACGACATGCAGGATGACAAATACCTGCCGGAAAAATCCATACACGGATCAGGGTTAAGGAATCAAAATAGAGCTAGATGAATTATACTGATCACTCGACAATACATTATGGAAACCCAAGTCAAAATATACAGTCCAGGGCACTCGGAACAAGACAAGGAAGTTCACAAACCAGAAAAGCGGCGAAGTGCTCGGATGTCATAACAGCGTTAAAACCCACCACAGGCACAAGAGCTGCTAGAAGAGTTCCCAGTACCACCTGCACAGCATTCATTTTGCTCTCATGCGTACGACGAAACCTCGAGAACCCAATGTGGAAAAAGGTGACAGAATTTCCAATAAAAACAGACGTCAAGGAAATGGGAAAATACCGACAATAAAGATACAGCGCACTATTTCTTAATCACAACTCTACATACTGGTGAAGGCAAAATATTTACCAAGGGTGCAAAAGCAATGTAGAGCCGTGATGAGTAACGGCCAGTGACCAGGCATAGCAGCACATGAATTGGAATGAGGTTGATTATGAACGTGTAACCACCCCAAGAACAAGTCTGTAAACCGCAACTTCGTCAATATCATGATCATACACAAACAAAATGAAGGGTAACCAAATAAATATAAGTCACTCCAGCAACCCCGACGTAGAAGAGTTTCAATGCAACAGTTCAGAGCACCAGCAAAGAGCGGTGTCCGACTTCTGACTACTTGAACTTTAGACATACCATGTAGAAGTAGGCAAGAGAGTTTAATGTCGCATAGAAAAGTGACCCTGTGTTCAACGTCTGCAAACCAACACGAACTTTAGATAAACGATGAAAATTCCGAGTACGGCATGAAATTGTCCAAGTTTCCTGCTGTAAAAAGTACAGCACACCTACCTCTACAACAGTCGCCACGGCGGAAATCTATCCACTAAAGAGCACACGATAATCGTGAAGAACACTCACCTTGACATACAAGTAAAAGGTCAAAACAAGAGCAAATATAGCAACTGCTTCATTGTCGTAGCTACCAGCTACAGACCTTGAGATGTACGATGGAACCTACACCCGTCACATGCGCAGGCAAACAATTTAGAGCATGTTCTGATATTGAAACGCAAGACATAATAGTTTCAACGGTGCACGACATCATACTAGTTCCAACTTATCTAACACGAGTCCTACACAATCTCAAACATGTGGTCAGGGGAAGAGGTTTGAGGTCACCATTACAGGAGCATGGATCTTCTCGGAGAAACTAACCACCTAAGCGCATTAACGACCATGAAAATAATATGATAGGTACAGGGTGCACGTTTCCTTACCATAGCAAGAAGGACTGCCGCGGTTAGTCCTGCGCCGGTACCCTTCACTTCCTGCAAATTCGCAAGCAAGTCGTCACTTATTGAGTACAGCTGGGTGCCTCCTCAAAAATACGATCGCTCTAAAAACACCAGTGCGACAGGACAGATTTAAACTACGATAGGGCATGTATTGTTAAACTGATCCTCGCAATAGAAGCTCACAGGAACACCCTACAACTGAGCATATGGCGTTCTGGAACATCTTGTCAATGCGGGGCATGACATGACATAAATGCCGTGAGTACTTCAGATTAGAATGTATCAGATCTAGGAATCTGGATCTTACATCAGGGTCTCACATCTGCATACGTGCTTTACAAGCACATTGAAATACCCGGACTCTCTGCACGCCCACTCAAAACTTCACTTACCTTGGTTAGCAGAAATGTGGCCCATGACGCAAACGCTGAGAAGACTGGGGCGGTGAAAACACACACCGTCTCCACCGACAAAGGAATGTTAATAGCTTGTGCCACCCTACACACCAAATGCCCCAACATAAGTACTGAATGTCGATGATGAACACTGCAGATTCAGCAATCACATCGAAAGGTGAAACATGCTGTCGGTAGAGAAAACACTGCACATCCGTCCGTCTTACCACCACATGGTTCCTGCTGTCAACGTGAGGCCTGGATAAACAGTCCCTCCAATCACTCTCCCCAATGGGTACCTGTCAAGTTATCAATCACCAGTCAGTTAAGTGTTTTTCCAACCAGTCACATTCACCGCACAATGACGCTTTTACTTATTGATGCTGCTGTAAGCTACAGTAGAATTAGGCCTGTCAAACTACAAAGGAATGACTGTGGCAAAGTATCGGCTACTCTGCACCATGGCACGGCGTCACCAAGAAAATACTCTTCAATTTACATGGCTCCTCGATAAACTCAAAGAACAAGAAAATCACGAAACTTGCAGCAAGATGACGATGCTCACCATGTTCTATCATCGAACCAGTTCCAAAACTCATAAATGCCGGCTTTGGTCAAGTACTGCAAAACCAGTGTGACAATGCATCAGTGCGCTCCTAAAGCTACGGAATAGGGATAGAGGCTTATCAAGCTGAAGTAACAGGCATACAATGCAACCAGATTTCGATTCCAGAGGTAGATCTACACCCCACCAGCCTGCCCCGCTGCCCAAAGCACAATATCTAACAACTCCCTGAAAACTACGTTCATGCGTACGGTCGAAGCGAATACCAACTCATGCAGTTTAATTGGTTACAACCCTCCCCTCAAAGAGAGCAAGCTGAGCTGAAAAATCCAGAACAACCATCTACTTGCTGCCATCAGGAGCGGTGGTTTACGTGTCACAGTTAACTTATAAGCCAGAAGACATACCTGAGTGACTCTGTAGTTAAAGTACGGGTCAAACTCATGAATGATGCTCTCATACTTGATGACCTGTAGCAATACATAATCACTGTAAGTAAACCATGTGGTTTATAAACGGATCTCTCCCACAGCATCCATCTTCTACTCGATAGGCTTCCCTTACAATGCCGGGTGATCCCATCACTTTCTCTTGAGATTTACCGACGTCGTACATCATAACCAACGGCCTGACACGCAGGAACAAAATATCCAAGGGCTGGCGAAGAAAATACTCCAACATGCTGCCGATCAAAACAAATGCCATTTCCAATTTGAAAACGCAAAGGCGGGTCCGTCAGGACGACACCACGGAGTGGGATGTATAAACCCTAATCAGGAGCTTGCATAATGAAAACGGGGTCCCTGACCCAGCCCACAAGACGAAATTCATAAACTCTGAACGGGAGTACACATCTGTCAAAGGGACTGAAAATACACTCCTATCCTGCTGCACTTATCGATGAAGCTGGAAAGCGCGTCCAAGTTCTACAGGCTGATTCATTGTTGTGGTGATTCGTTCCTTGAGTAAGCCGGAGGTTATGCTTTCAATTCGGGCGAAGATTAAAGTGATGACGAGAAACGTAGGGCTGCTACAAAATTGTTGCACTCGCAGCTAATACCAACACCTAATCGTCATTCAATGCGTGAACCATACATTGCAGTTGAACAGCGATCCGAGAGGAATCGGAATAGCACACACACAACCAACATGTTTTGGGGCATATCAGATGATCCACAAGCATTACATTCCGTAAGCAGGCGCCGGAGTTAGCTCAGCTCACACCGCATACCGAAAACAGTCAAAGAAAATCCATACTGAGGAAATGCATAGTATGTGCTGCAAAAGTCGTTTGTCGTGCCAGAGCGTTGCGGCAGCTATGTTTCGTTACACGGCCCTCCTTGAGAGGCTTGTCTAGCGATCGCGAAAACCTTCGCAAAATGCCACCAAAACCTCATACCGATGAGGTATCGGTATGATCCAATTGACGATGGGCCAATTTAAAGCTTCCAAGACAGAGACAAAAATCGGAGATCCGGCACTTACAGAGAACAACCGTATAGAGAAGGCCAAGACGCCGATGAGCACGAAGATTGTGGCAAAGACAAGCAGGCCCAGCGGCCCGCCCTCCGCCATTCTGAAATCCTCCGAAACAGCGCTCCAAAACAGTACCGCCAAAACCCAACTCACGAACAGTGCGCACCGAGAGACCCCTGCGGCAATCCACGCCAAACCGGGACGGGGAAGAAGAGCTGACGAATTGCAGCGATCCAAGACCAGGGCCCTGCACCCCACTAAAAGGAGATTGGTGAGAGAGGAAGAGAAGGGGGGTGGGGTGGTGTGGAGTGGGGGCAGACCGAGCAAGCACAGTGCGAGAGCCTGCTTCGGTGGGTAGGGCAAGAGCCCTGACGGGGACAGATTGTGCGAAACAGAGAAGAGAGAGACAAGAGAGAAGAGAAGGGAGAGAGAGAGTGCAGGTGGAGGGTGGTGCCGCAGGAGAGCGGGCGGGGGCGGGCGATGGATGGAACCTGTTGCTGCTGCTGCTCCCCCTCCAGTTCCACGCGAAGAAGTCTGGGCTGTCTTGCCTTGCCTTGCCTGCGTTCGACTCCCCTTTCCCCACAGCCCCGACACTCCTTCCCCTCGCAGTTGCGACCTATTCACGCGCTACACAGCCCTTCTTCACTCCCCCCTCCCTGACGGACGAAACCATACCCATCAGAACGCTGACTTGCGCACTGCTACACGGACGTTGTCTGTGGATTCTTTCGACATATTCATATTTACAGAGAATCCGTCCATACAAACCATTGCATTTCACAAGGTACATGCAACACCAGCGCCTCAACACATCAGGTACTCATGAATGGAAAACATCGGAAGAAAGTCTTTGTTCAGACAACCATCATGGCTCTGTGTTTTTGATGACGTCCAATGACAAGTTTGTGTGAAAAATAAAGATTTTGTTTCTAGTGTTGTTGTTGCTAAAGCACTATTGTCCAAATAGAATTGGACATGTTTGGATTTACACAATCATGTGCACACACAATCATATCATATCACATGTATAGTGGATTCTTTTCATCTTTTTTTTTTGTTCCATCAAACTACAAATATTGGTGCAAAAGATTGGGTGGTTCATTTCTATTTTTGTCTATGTTGTTGGAAAGAGGGTGCAATTTTTGCAATGAAGTGCAAATACAATATACATTCATCAATCAAAGAATATTACTTAAATGGATCCAAATCATTCAATCTATGCTTATTTAGATTAATTCATTGTTTTGCTTTACTTTGAACACTACAAGATGTCTTTGAAGAAGCAATCTTGAAGTTTCAAGAAAATATTATTTTTAGTAAAATTGTGATTATTATTCATACAAACAATTGTACAATAGTTGGTCAATGTAGCATTTTCATATAGTGTCATATTAGTGATCAATTTATCTTTATTAACATCCCTAATTGTTACTTTGAATACTTCTATTATTCATTAGATTTTTTCATACTACATATCATAGACAACCAAATAATTAATATAGTCAAATTGATTGCTAATATTAATATTATCTAACTAAGCAATGGTTTGTATCTACAAAAAAATTCACTTGTGAATATCTTGTTGACATGTATTTTTGACTAAAATAAAACGTCTAAACTTCTAAGATTGCCTTTTAAAATAGCTTTGAGAAATATGACATCTTAAAATCTTCTAGTATGCATTTGAAGAAGATTTTGTTCATAAAGATGGTGCCATTGAGCTAGTTTATGCAGATGTTATTTATTTTTTAGTATTTTTTTTGAAATTCCAAAAACAATGTTTTATCATATTCTTTGATTCTTTTACATTTATTTATAAAATAAAAAAGATTATAGTTTTAATTACAATTAAAAATAATTTTTAACAATTGAAGATCAACAATTAGCTACAATTAACACAAAATATAACTAATGCTCTTATTGTTGTTGTTTAAGTATTTTGTTTCTATTTTATTAAACTAAAAGAATTATTAGTGCAATATTGTGGTGCAATAGCTTACATGGTAGATCTTATTAAATGCTAAAAGTGTGGTCATTTTTGTACTTGTTTGGTAATGTGTATTGTACCTAAGCTTCTTGTCAAATATCTACTTTTAACACAACATTTTTTTTTTTAGTTTAGATATGAAATAGGTTAAAATTTTGTAATTTTTGAAATTTAGATAGGCCTCTTAGATTTGAATTAAGTACTAGTAGGATTCAAGATTAAGTGATTTTTTATTAAATATAATTATAAATTATCAACATATTAACAATTCATCCAAAATAGAGCTAATATTGTTCTATAAATTATGTGAGAGTAGCCCATGTACCAATTGTTTGCTACTATATCCTAGTGCTATTTAAGAAAGAATGATCTGAGGCAATAAAGTAGAAGTAGAAGTTTAGGCGAGAGGAGAAGCAATGCCTTTTTAATTAGATCAGCATAAGTATTGATAACCATTAAATAACACCACATGTGATTGGATGGCAAAATGATGGATATAACAATATTAAGGGAGAAATTGGTTGAAAGCAAGAAAAGATTGATAACAACATTCATAGCTTGATTTCTGCCAAAGTAATTATTATTCCATAATATAGCAACAATATGTACAACTACAATAGATGGAAGTGGCAGGTACAAATGTCATTGGCCATCAATCACTATAGGCAACAAATGAAGATTGGTTGAAGGTTTGAAATAGTCTTGAAAAAGTTATAAAATCCTAAAAAGGCTTTGGTTCAAAAATATTTGAACATTGAGAATTATTAATAATAAGAAAATCAAATGAAATTCAAAAAGCATTGGCGGAATAGCAAATTAGACTTTTGTATTTAGAATTTGGGTGTGTAAAAGATGGCAAAGACTAAGATAGTCTTGCAAAGAATTGAACTTGAAATCCAAATAAAGAAGAAGATAAAGGTGAAGTTAAGAAATGACCTCATGAAGATTGATTGTGAGGCATTGCTTAATCTTCTTTTGAATTTATAAACTCAGATTATAGAAGAGCTAGTGATAAAAGAGATATTCTTAAGCATGGAGGGCACAATTTGGAATTACTCAAAGGAATAAGATTTGGCTCTCATAGCCAAAACTTACGGATTGAAAAATGCATGTAGTAGATTCTTGCAACAATGATAAAACCTCACACATGAGATTCCATTGGTTTTTATAAAAGATTTGTATGATAACTAGAAGAAGTATAAGTACCATTGAATTTACAATATATGAATATAATTTTTTTTCAAAATTCTCATCTCAATCTTTTATATTGATCACTTCAACCAGATCAATAAAACTTGAATAGATGTATTTACAAATACGTTAGCAAGTACTCAATTAATAAATTGATTTTTTTGCTTCTTGATGCAATTCAACATATATTATTAGGAACCAAGAAGGCTTATTTCACTAAAGTTTACATGTTTCATTATTACATATATAAAGCACACAATTTGCTAACCACTAATGAAAAAGAAGAATATGTGTTGCAAGACATTATTTCATTCCACCAAATAGCCAAGGTGCAGTTAGCAAAAAAAGAGCCAAATAAAATTCTAATTAAGGATGAAGACAAAGAAATGTCAAAGTTATCTTGAGTGAATAGATATCAATCCAAGTTCAAACTACAATGATTTGAGCTTCAACTACCATTATTAGGGAGAATTGTCTTGATCACTCTTACAAAAGAAATCTTTACAAACTCTCAAGTTTAGTTTCCATTAGATTACTTAGATGGAATTAAGACATATATATGATATGTAGAATTAGAAAAAAATTATATAAGAAAGGTGATCCAGAAATTAGAACATTTTTATATTCTATCCTAATAAGGTTCTAAAGTTGTAGAAAGAAAAGCAAGTTTTTGGAATCTTGGGTCACTAGAGTAGAGGACTATGTGATATAATTAAAGAATGAATTGAAAAATATCAAAAAGATGCTACTTATATTTTAAAGCAATAAGATGATTTGATTAGATTCTTGAATATTGATCCAAAGTTGCTCTCAAAGGCACCTCTTTGAAATCATCATATAGCAAAGAGAGAGGAGATGATGAAATAAGATGTTGCTAAGGTAAACTTGAAGGTGACCAAGAGGTATAAAAAGATCAAGAAGATAGTCCATGTTTTTAAAAAAGATGTCTAGAGATACTTAATGTCTTGACAATTAAGCACAATGCATATTATGGCAATTAAAATGAGAGTCTTGCAAATGCCTTTCAAATTTTTTTAACCTCTAATAGAAAAAGCCAAATTTTGAAATCCATTCTTGTCAAATCCTTGGCAAAAAGTTTGTCCACAATCAAGGATTTATCATTGATGTTTGCTATCATATTTTTCTAAAATTCTAATTTGAAACTAGTTAAACTCAAAGAAACAAAGATGTAAGAGGTGACAAATAATGATTGACTTAGATGAGTTTTTCTATGATAAAGAAATCATAAAAGATGATAAAGAGGAGGTATTGGAATTAAACTCTAAAGCCATCTTAAAGTTGAAAAAAATATAAATATAAATATAAATAAATAAATAAATAAATAAATAAAAGAATATTAAAAAATTAGAGATAATAGAAAAAAGTCTCTAAGTAAATTAGAGAGATTGAATAATCTTGATAGTAGATCAATTAATGACCAAGCTAATAAGATAGGAAAAAAAATAATTAATTATTTAAATGTAGCCACTTATTAGAAAGTAGTATGAGTAGGAAGGTTGTTCTCATAGTGTGAAGGACATGAATCTTGAAGAAATAAATCCTCAATACACTCTTATGTCATTCAAAATGACTAAAAAATCACTCAAAGATGATATAGTATTAAAGTAAAATGACTATTGTCAAAGACAAAGAGACTAGAAAGTCTTAAAATGAGACTCAAGACTAGAAAGGCATTGACAAGAATGAAGAAGGCTTTACTTTGGTCTCCATATATACTCTTAATTAGGAGTTACATGGCAATATCCTATAAGACCTCCAAAACATGTTGGCTTTATAAGACACGTATTTTAACTTGTAAGGCAAGTTTTCTATATGTGTACCACATAGTTATCTTGTTTTGTAAGCTATCAATACATGATTAACTTGTTGAACAAGTTTCTAGCCTATCAATCAACTAAAAACATATGTGAAGTTAAAGCAGTATCTATTAGGCTTCTAAGAAGCTTTTCTAGAAAATATTATGAAATAAATCTACTTTTATCTACTTCTATTTAATCATATAAATAAATATTAGAATAAATATGTATGATTGTGATACATAGAATTCATATTTTATTGGATATTTATATGAAACACATTTCATGATTATAAAGGATCTTACATAAAAATATCTTTAGTAGAATATAGGATTTTTCTTAGATTTGTAGCTTTTGTATTCTAATATTTAAATAGACTCGTAAAAAGACCATGAAGTCTTATTTCTTACTGTTATAAACTAAAATATTAATACTTTTATATCCATGATTGTATTTTCTTGCATCTAAATGAATGT